TATATGCACAACAATTTATCGCCACCAACCCAAATTCAAACCTTGCCAGACCAGTCGCATGGAAACTCATTACGGTTTCTGAATTTACATTTTTTTTTTGGCCAAACCCTTAACATGGGCATTACTAAAAGAAATGAATTACGGTTGTTTTGGTCCGAAGACCTGATTCATCATATGCCCGTGTTCTCTGCTGCCATGGCCAGGCATAGAGTGAGAGTATAATGTGTTTTATGCATTTCAACGACAATACACTCTGTCATCCTCGGGGTGACCCTGAATTTTATTGTTCCACAAAATTCAGCCCCTCGCAAATCACCTTAACCAAAAAATTGCAGATGTCTATACTCCCCAGCAAAAAATCTGTGTTGATGAGTCCCTGATTAATTGCATTCAAACAATTTCTCCCCAGCAAGCGTGCCAGATATGGGGTCAAGATGTAGAAGACCTGTGAGAGGACAACAGGCTATACTTATAAGTTTCGGATTTACGAGGGAAAAGAAAGTCACGTGGAGCCCCCCGGATGCCCAGACTACATAGGGAGCAGTGACAAGATAGTTAGGGACTTGGTGTCATCCTTTTTCCATATGGGGTACCACATATACGTGAACAATTTTTATTCAAGCGTGCCACTATTTAGACATTTGTACAATCTTGGAACTGGTGCATGTGGCAAAGTGTGACCTAATGTGTGTCCACCATTAGAAGTGGGTGGATGCAGGGAGGAATATTCTAATGGTGGGAATACCACACACTTTTTCTGGCAGAGATTTCTTCTCTTTTGTTTCAGTCCACAGGCTGCATACAAAAAAAAAAGAACATAGCATATATACACAACAAGGACCAGCGACGTACTGGCACATCACTGGATTTTGAATGGTTATACCAGGATGATGCCTACAGCTGCAGACATCGTCCTGGTATCATTTTTTTTTCAGCCGGCAATCGGCTTTCATGTAAAAGCAATCCTAGTGGCTAATTAGCTGCAGGATTGCAGTGGGATATGATGCCCCCCTCCCTCGCTGCCTTCCACGGCCTTCTCAGCCAGTCCCGTGCCATCGGAGGAACCTGAGAATGCAGCCGGTGTTTCTGCCAGCTGACCATAGAGCTGATTGGAGACCAGAGTGGTGCCAATCATCTCTATAGTCTAAAAATTCGGAAGCTACCAGTTTCATCACTGAGGTATCACCGTGAATGTCAGATCAAGGGCAGTAATTCTAACACTAGACCTCCTCTGTAAATCTAAAATGGTAGCTGTTAAAAGCTTTTAAAGCGTTGCCTATGGAAAAATCTCCAAAAGGCATCAAATTACAGATTAGACATTCTTATAATATGTCAACAAAAGTTAGATTTTATTTCCATCATTTACACTTTCAAAATAACGGAAAACAAAAAAATGGCGTCTGCAAAAGTTTGGGCACCCTGCAGAGTTAATATCTTATACTGCCCCCTTTGGCAAGTATCACAGCTTGTAAACGCTTTTTGTAGCCAGCCAAGAGTCTTTCAATTCTTGTTTGAGGTATCTTTGCCCATTCTTCCTTACAAAAGTCTTCCAGTTCTTTGAGATTTCTGGGCTGTCTGTCACGCACTGCTCTTTTAAGGTCTATCCATAGATTTTCAATTATGTTGAGGTCAGGAGATTGTGAAGGCCATGGCAAAACCTTCAGTTTACGCCTCTTGATGTAATCCCCCGTGGATTTCGAGGTGTGATTAGGATCATTATCCATTTGTAGAAGCCATCCTCTCTTTAACTTCAGCTTTTTTCACAGATGGCATCAAGTTACCATCCAAAATTTGCTGAAATTTTATTGAATCCATTTTTCCTTCTACTCGTGAGATGTTCCCTGTGCCACTGGCTGCAACACAATCCCAAAGCATGATTGATCCAACCCCATGCTTAACAGTTGGACAGAGGCTCTTTTCATTAAATTCTGTGCCACTTCTTCTCCAAACGTACCTTTGCTCATTCCGGCCAAAAAAGTTCAATTTTAACCTCATCGGTCCACAGAACTTGTTTCCAAAATGCATCAGGCTTGTCTATATGTTCATTTACAAAGTTCAAATGATGATTTTTGTGGTGAGAGACGTAGAAGGTTTTCTTCTGATGACTCTTCCGTGAAGACCATATTTGTACAAGTATCTCTTTATAGTGGAATAGTGTACCACAACTCCAGTGTCTGCCAGATCTTTCTGGAGGGATCGTGCAGTCAAACGTGGGTGTCAGGGCTCCCAGGTGTGACCAGAGGTGTGTGACTGACGCAGGGAAATGCAGACTTCAGATATGTGATAAACAATATAATTTATTAACACTAACAATACAACATAAACGCAGTGCAATACTAAACATAATACAGTGCAAAAAAACCAACCACCCACAGATAACAGTACATACAAGCAAGCGTCGTCAGGCAGGCCGGGTCAATATCAATAGGGCAGGTAGGTACAGGGGGAGCAAGTGGAGATTGGTCGGGGTCATAGGCCAGGTTCAGCAGGTAGCTAGCAGCGTAGTACAGAGGGTCAGGCAGAGGGATGGTCAGGGTCACAAGCCAGGGATCAGAACAGGTAGCAGGTAGCGTAGTACAGAGGGTCAGGCAGAGGGATGGTCAGACAAGCCAGGGATCAGAACAGGCAGCAGAGAATCAGACAGGAACAGGATACAGGGCCCAAGAGAAACACAACACCAAGGCAGAGTCTGCAAGTCTGGCCATCCCTTAAATACCCCAGCATAATCAGTTCCAGGTGTTAGCTGGCTGCAAAGTTGAGTCTCTGATTGCTGGGAGCCCGCTGGCCAGCCCTGGTACTGCAGATCAAAAAGGCAGGTGAGTCCCACCATTGCTGGCTAGTCCATTCCTGACAGTACCCCCCCCTCAAGGAGCGGCCTCAGGACGCTCCAAACAGTCCTAGCTGGGCAAAATGTTCCACCGCCCGGTCTGGTAACTGGCGGGATATCAAAGACTGGCACACCGGGCAGGACTCCGGGCAGCGGCACACCGGGCAGGACTCCGGGCAGCGGCACACCGGGCAGGGGCACACCGGGCAGAGGCACATTGGGCAAAGGCACTCCGGGCAGAGGCACATCGGGCTGGACTCCGGGCAGAGGCACATCGGGCTGGACTCCGGGCAGAGGCACATCGGGCTGGACTCCGGGCAGAGGCACATCGGGCTGGACTCCGGGCAGAGGCACATCGGGCAGGACTCGGGCTGGACTCCGGCAGAGGCACATCGGGCTGGACTCCGGGCAGAGGCACATCGGGCTGGACTCCGGGCAGAGGCACATCGGGCAGGACTCCGGGCAGAGGCACATCGGATTACCAGGTGAAGCAGCAGGCAGCGGGCCACCAGGCGAAGCAGCAGGCAGCGGGCCCACCAGGCGGAGCAGCAGGCACCGGGCCCCCGGGCGGGGCAGCAGGCACCGGGCCCCCGGGCGGGGCGGCAGGCACCGGGCCCCCGGGCGGAGCGGCAGGCAGCGGGCCCCCGGGCGGAGCGGCAGGCAGCGGGCCCCCGGGCGGAGCGGCAGGCAGCGGGCCCCCGGGCGGAGTGACAGGCATCGGGCCCCCGGGGCGACAGGCGGGCGGGGCCCCCCAGGCGGAGCGACAGGTCTCGGGCCCCAGGCGGAGCGGCAGCGCCGGACCCCCAGGGAGCGACAGGACAGGTCTCGGGCCCCCAGGCGGAGCGGCGGGCGCCGGACCCCCAGGCGTGGAGCGACAGGTCTCGGGCCCTCAGGCGGAGCGGCGGGCGCCGGAGCGACACCCCCAGATGGAGGCGAGCGACAGGTCTCGGGGCCCCCAGGCGGAGCGACAGGTCTCAGGTCCCCTCAGGCGGAGCGACGGGCGCCGGACCCCCAGGATGGAGCGACGGGTCTCGGGCCCCCAGGCGGAGCGGCGTGCGCGCCGGACCCCCAAGTGGAGCACAGGTCTCGGGCCCTCAGGCGGAGCGGCGGGCGCCGGACCCCCCAGGTGGAGCGACAGGTCTCGGGCCCCCAGGCGGAGCGGCGGGCGCCGGGCCCCAGATGGAGTGACAGGTCTCGGGCCCCCAGGCGGAGCGACAGGTCTCGGGCCCTCAGGCGGAGCGGCGGGCACCGAGTCACCAGGCACGACAGTGGGCACCGAGTCGTCTGGCAAGACTGCGGGCACCGAGTCGTCTGGCAAGACTGCGGGCACCGAGTCGTCTGGCAAGACTGCGGGCACCGAGTCGTCTGGCAAGACTGCGGGCACCGAGTCGTCTGGCAAGACTGCGGGCACCGAGTCGTCTGGCAAGACTGCGGGCACCGAGTCGTCTGGCAAGACTGCGGGGGCACCGAGTCGTCTGGCAAGACTGCGGGCACACCGAGTCGTCTGGCAAGACTGCGGGCACCGAGTCGTCTGGCAAGACTGCGGGCACCGAGTCAACTGGCAGGAACTGCGGGCACCGAGTCGTCTGGCAAGACTGCGGGCACCGAGTCGTCTGGCAAGACTGCGGGCACCGAGTCGTCTGGCAAGACTGCGGACACCGAGTCAACTGGCGGAACAGCGGGCACCGAGTCGTCTGGCAAGACTGCGGGCACCGAGTCGTCTGGCAAGACTGCGGGCACCGAGTCGTCTGGCAAGACTGCGGGCACCGAGTCGTCTGGCAAGACTGCGGGCACCGAGTCGTCTGGCAAGACTGCGGGCACCGAGTCGTCTGGCGGAACAGCGGGCAACAGGCATCGAGTCAACTGGCGGAACAGCGGGGGCACCGAGTCGTCTGGCAAGAGTGCGGGCACCGAGTCGTCTGGCAAGAGTGCGGGCACCGAGTCGTCTGGCAAGACAGTGCGGGCACCGAGTCGTCTGGCAAGACTGCGGGCACCGAGTCGTCTGGCAAGACTGCGGGCACCGAGTCGTCAAGGCAAGAGTGCGGGCACCGAGTCGTCTGGCAAGAGTGCGGGCACCGAGTCGTCTGGCAAGAGTGCGGGCACCGAGTCGAGTGGCGAACTGCGGGCACGAGTCGTCTGGCAAGACTGGGCACCGAGTCGTCTGGCAAGACTGCGGGCACCGAGTCGTCTGGCAAGAGAGTGCGGGCACCGAGTCGTCTGGCAAGAGTGCGGGCACCGAGTCGTCTGGCAAGAGTGCGGGCACCGAGTCGTCTGGCAAGGCACTGCGGGCACCGAGTCGTCTGGCAAGAGTGCGGGCACCGAGTCGTCTGGCAAGACTGCGGGCACCGAGTCGTCTGGCAAGACAGCGGGCACCGAGTCGTCTGGCAAGACAGTGGGCTCCGAGTCAACAGGCACGACAGTGGGCACTGGGTCATCAGGTATCGGATTGTCTGGCTTGACAGCGGGCATCGGGTCACCAGGTATGACAGCGGGCACTGGGTCACCAGACATCAGGTCATTTGGCTTGCCAGCGGGCACCGCGTCATCTGGCAAGGCAGTGGGCACCGGGTCACCAGGTATGACAGCGGGCTCTGAGTCAATTGGCACGACAGCGGGCACTGGATCAGGTACCGGATCATCTGGATCAACAGCGGGCATCGAGTCAACTGGCCTAATAGGATCGTCGGGCTGGATCAGTTCATCATGCTGAGTAGAGGCATCCAGGCATAGCGGCCAGAGGCATCAGGCTGCTGAATGCAGGCATCAGGCTGAGTAGAGGCCGAGTAAGAGAGCTTCAGGCCGAGTGAGAGGCTTCAGGCTGAGTAGAGGCATCAGGCTGAGTAGAGGCATCAGGCTGAAGAGAGGCATCAGGCTGAAGAGAGGCTTCAGGCTGAGTAGAGGCTTCAGGCTGAGTCACGGAAGGCAGGTTCACACGGTTTGGATACTGGCAGGATGGTATTGGTTGGAAAGAATTTTCGCTTTTTTCTGGTTTTAACTACTGGAGCACTGCAAGTAAACGCAGGTCTGCAAACGAATGGAGCAGCTGGAGACAGAGAAAAACTGGAGGATGGAACAGGAGAGGGAGCAGTTGCTACAGAGGGCTTTTTTACAGGGTTAAAGGCAGGATAGGTGCAGCGAGTGGGAACAGGGTACTGACATGCGGTAGATAGCCAAGTATACTGGGCTGTAACTGGAGGAGCTGGTGGGAATACAGGAGTAGAGTTAGAAGCAGGACTGGGTTTTTGTAAGCTGACTGAGGCTGGGTGCAACAAGTCTGTCCATGTCTGCAGTATGGGTTGAACAAAGCTGAGCTTACACAAAGCCTGTCTGGTCAATGACTGCACTGCGTTTATACAATCTCTTAGTGTACCTGTGGTGAACATGTGGAATAACGCTCCAGAAAGTAACCCACATCATCCTCTAATAACCACACCAGGGACTCTACCTGGTCTGCACTAAATGGTGGCAAAAATTCATCCCTGCATTCGGGGGAACCAGATGAAACCAACTCAGCACAAACCTCAATCAATGGCTGCACCTCAGAGAACTCTGTGCCCTGATCTACTAGAACATGAGCGAGCCGTATACATTCTAGTAGTTGATCCCTGGGATACTCCTTCAGAGTTTGATAAGCATACTCCCTGTCATCAAACACTAGCAGATATAAATACACAACCTCATCCAGATCCATCCTTCCCAGCAACAAGCCAAGATGGCTTCCCTGTGCAGCCACTTCTGGTCAGGATTGGCCTTGGTGTAATGTCAGGGCTCCCAGGTGTGAC